AAGCCACCAAAAGCTGGGATGGCAATTAAACTGAGAAAGATGAAGAAATTAAAGCATAGAAGCAAAGACAGTAAGAAAGTGGGATTTAAAAGAGCACTGAGATGAAAATACACATATGCTGAAAAGCATAGCACGGAGCAAATAGATAGAGGCACAGAGAGAAGAGTAGAGCAAGGCAGAAAACGAATCTTTCATCTGCCTACTGAATCTCTTTTTCAGCACCAAGGACAGAGCCTCTAAAGTCTGCCCCAAGAAACGTTCAGTTTAGGGTCCCTCCCAAATCCTGTAGAGATAACGGATGCATTCGAAAGCAACTATGAAACATGCAGTAAGGTCTAATAGGGAAGCTGGAAGAGCAGCACACAAGTGATTTCACCTTAGAGGCAAAAATGGGTGATATTCTTTCTGTTCATTTCCAGTTTCTGTGTCTTGGCAAAGGCAAAGTTTGCTTTGCTTGGGCATGTCTGCTGTCAGTAAATGGCTACAGGAGCTGAGGTGCTAAACTTCACAGTCTCCAGAAATCAGAAGAAAATTTCAAGGTAAGTAATTTTTCGTTTCATTTTTTACTTTAATACAGTGTTTTCCTGGAAGGTTATTTAATCAGTTTGGGGTTCTGTGGTTCTCTAAGAATATGCATTAAAACTCTGTACCTTCTCTAATTTAAAACCTGAACCCCTGAGGAAACTGTTTTCACTTTTTCCTTATTTTGGGGACAGTAAAAATCTGTTCACCTTTTTTCCCAAAAAATTAGATAATCATGAGCTCCAGAAGCATTATCAAGGCAGAATTAAAAGATGGAAAATAAAAAAGCTGTTACTATTCCTGGGGTTTGTATGGAGGCTGATTGTATTTCTCTTAAGGATTTTCCTTAATTGTAAGGGTCTGTTATTTTAAACTCCCCCAATTCAGCACCCTGGTAATCCAGGGCTGAGGGTTTGGAGAGACACTGTTCTCAATGGTCTATGTAAAGCCAGGCTGTTTCCAAGTCGGAATTCAATTATTCCCAACAGAGATATGCAGTACTTGAGATGATGCTTGTGTATGTTTTCTTTAATGATGGCATATGATTTTGAAGGTATTGTTGTCGTTTAATTGTGGGATTTTCATTACTTACTGTACCTTATTGGGTCAATGGAAGTTGTTGCAATTAGGTATTTGTTCTAGTTCATGCATTTAGTTTAATCAAATACTGTTGATATGCATGCACAAATAATAATGCAGCAATAACAAAGTGAAACTTGGATTCTAAACTCATTCTGAATACCTGTTTGCCCTTTATAGGTGAAGCCCTTTGCTTATTGGTACTAAATTGTCAATAAGATGTCTGTCCTTGGATAAGAGTGAAGAATCGGTGCTTGACAGAGCATTGGTTGGATCTCTTATAGCCAAAGATAAGCAGATACAATATGAGAAAGAGTCCTACTCAGACACTTGTTTTTAGCTTAACATTTTGTTAACATTATAGCTGAACATTTTCAAGAGTCTGCATGGTTAGCAGTGAGCAGAGTTTCGAACAAGGAAAATACTGACAGTATCCAAATGAATGCCTAGTATTAAAACATCTACACAGAAGGCTTCTTATTATGAAATATAAATTAAAGCAAATAGCAAATAGATTTTACCTAATATTAAATGCAATTCTTAATGCATTGAAGTTTGTCATCAATTAATATTTTCTCACTGATTGACTGATCCATTGAGTTCCCCATTTGATCTCTGATTAGAATGATAGGATGCTCAGTCCTTAGAGGTTGTGATGAAAAGTGGGGATGCTCTGCTTTACTGAGCAGGTTTAATTAGGGAAAAAAGTATACTACCTTATCTATGCAATCGCAGTAACCGGCTATAGTTTTTCCCTGTAAACTTGCCAACCATGTACATATACCCAAATATATAAATGTCATGTATTTCAATGCATTTGTGAATCTTCATTAGGAAAACAAACTAAACAGCAATTCTCAAGAATAAAGTGCCATAGAAATGCTAAAGACCACCTCTAATAATAATGACAATGTAACTCCCACTGTTTCTATGTGCAGTGTGCACCTGCATTGAGTTCACTGAGTTTGGTCAGGTGATGTGCACAAGATACTCTGAAAAGAGAAGGTTTTAAAATTAGTCCTCACTTCAGGTTTGTCTCCTTCACTTCAACAGTAGAATAATTAAGAACATGAACTCTGAAAACAGACAGATTTTGGGTTGAATCAGCTCCATCATTTACTGGTGTACGACCTCAGAAAGATACTTAACCTTTCTGTTACTTTCTTCACCTGCAAAAATGGAGATAATAACAGTACTTACTTCCTTTATCAGGCCATTGTGGGGTTTAAATAAGATAATATTTATAAATGTATCTTTAATAATTAACTTTTAAGGCAATGTAGCAAGTCTGCATTGAAGCCAAGAACCAGAAAAGCTCTGGAAACTAGAGATCAGGATGTAATTGAGTAAAAGATTAGAGACAGCAAAGAGGTCTGTAATACAAGTGATTTGGCCATGGAACTCTGCTATCAAGGTATTGTGTTCTGGGTTTAGGAAAAACCATTTCTACCTGGAAATAACTGTCACATCAACTGTACTTCCAGCATAGACACATTAAATAAAGTGCAAGTTTTGGAATTAGGGAGGCCCAAGATCAAAACTGGGCTCATATAACCCCCTACACATTGTGTGATCTTGAAAAAGTTACTGAATCTCTATCTGTCTCAGTTTTATGATCTATAAAAGGAGGATATTATTATCTACCTTCAGGGCTGCTATAATATTAAAATGAGATAATATATGTAAAATACTAGTGTTTGGCGCACAGTTGCAGCCAGAAGAGGTAGTGACTATTGTTTTCAGAAGGAAGTCGAGGACTAGAGGTGTTTGAGAGAGGCGATTGTGGGGTTTTTTAAATTTAACTCAATATCCTTAAGGACAGAGTGAAAATAATTACAACCCTGTAAATCTTAATGAGTATCTTCCTAACAAGTTCAGTGGGAATCTGGTATAGAACCAGGTGCCAAAGAGGCACCCCACAAGTGTTCCAAGCAAACTATAGTCAGAACAGAGGGATTGAATATCGGCAAAGGAGGACACATGTCATAGCTGATGGGAGCCTGACCACTCTCTGTCCCTCTGCTTTTTAAAACAGATTATGTCTTCATTCTAGGAGATGCTAAATGAACTATAAAGACCAAGATAAGTCAATACTTTATAAGAAATCCAAGGGCTCATTAAAATTTGTGAGTAGTGTTATATGTAATAAATCTTTAAAAAGTAAGACCAGCAGTAATCTTCTAGTCCTTGCATTCTCTACTTCTCGATTTTTCCTTCTCATCCACTCTTAACCACTAACACTCTTTGCTGAGGGCATCAGTAAATCTCCTAACTTCCAAGTCCGCAGCTGTACTTTATTTGACCCCTTTACCTATTCCCACTCTCCTTTTAACAATAAAAGCTGCAATATTTCAAGTGCTTCATACCAGACATTATGTTAGAGCCATGATTCTTAATGGGAAAAGCAACTTTGCCCCACAAGAGACATTCAACAATGTCTGGAGACATTTTTGGTTATCATAACTCGGGGGAAGGGGAGTGAGGCTGGCACCTCGTAGACAGATGCCAGGAATACTGCTAATCATCCTACTTCAAGGCACAGGACAGCCCCCATACAAACACAAAGAATTATCTAGCCAAATTGTCAATAGTTCCAAGCCTTCACATATATAATTTTATTTAATCATCGCAATAACCCTGTGGATTGGATATGATTATTCTTATTTTGTTGATGAGGAAACCAGGCTATTATTATAAATTACTTAGAGTGATTATTAAGTTAATGAATTATCCAGTCTCTTTGCTCCTCCTACCTGAGACCAGTTTACTATCTGTTAGCTTATCTATCAGAGAGAAAAGGAGAGAAAGAAGAAAGCCCAGCCCAGCACTGTGTTATATAAGCAATGTTGGTTGAAAAAAAAAATCTAAGGAGGGAGGAAGTTGAAAGAACTAGCTGAGAGGTGAGGAGCAATCTAGCATCATACTCATTTTCTGCTTTCATCTCCCACACCCACAATTCATCAAGAACTGCTGGACAAACAAGACTTACCCCCACCTGCGGCTATAAATAATCTAAGACCAGAGACGCTAAAGTGCAAAATAAATGAATAAATAAATCAGAAATCCCTGCAATTATAATTCCAACATCAGGCTCAAAATCGACTTTCAGAGTTGAAGATTTCCCTTCGTATAATTAGTCATTGACATTCGGCTGTACTATTTTTAATTAGCTGTCAAACCTCAGCAGAGTAAAACGTCCAGCAGGATAGTAACAAACATCCCAAGGTTTTTTGCTTCCCTCTTACCTGATAAGTAAGATTAGCCAACTACAGACCAACAGAAAGGAGTGATTTCCAGCCACTGCTTTCCGAGGTGGCCCAATTGCAGAAGGAAAGTCTTTCCGAGCCTGAGCCTGTCTCAGAGGTGAAAATATCCTTGAACAATCAGAAAGCATTGTATTTTTCCAAAAGCTCTTGGCAGCAGCAATGCTATCTCTGGGGTAGCGGCTGCCCTTCTCCGAATAATGAGGAAATTATAATTATTATCAAAAATTATTATCATCCTTTAAAATATATTGAGTGCAAACAGTGTGCCAAGATAAAGAACAATTTTTTTAAGCAATTCTCTGAATTCAGTTTGTCGGTCACCCCTAATAATCATTTGTTCATTGTAACACTTACACATTCCAGGCTGAAATATTTCAAAATGAGTTACAAAATGACAGCCATGATTAGGCCAATCTCCTAATCAAAGGAGAGCTACAGATATTAGGAGAGCAAATCCTGGCCACCAAGCCCGCCTCTACCTCTGCCAGGACCTGGAACAAGAGTTCCCATGGAGGCTTAAATACTCTATGTCTAAATATTTTGGTCATAACCAACAAACAATTGAATAAAATGTTTAATCCTCCTGCCTTGACAAGTATATCTTCCTAACGATCTGAAAGGCCAGGTTTGAATATAGCATTCCTGGGCTCTTAAGAGTTTTATACAAGATGTGAGAGGGTAGGAGAAGCTAACCCCCAACCCCCATCCTGTCCCAAGGACTCTGTCTTCTTCTCTCCTCACCTCAGGCTACACCCAAGCTATTCATCTGAGTTCCCCAAAGAGTTACCACTTGAGCCCAGGGGCCCCACATATACATGGCACAGTCTACGCCACAGTGACAGATACAGAATAATATAAGTGCTGCCCTAGAAACAGGCTCCAAGCAGTTTAGGCCAAGAATTCTGTGATCTTGGTACCGAGAATATGTTCTAAAATGGAAGTGTGGACTCTTGGTGGACCTGCTCCTTGGTGCTATGGGACGGCATGACCTCATCCTGTAGGAAGGATATGACAAAATAGGGGTCTGGAGTAGGACCCTCTAAAGCCAGAGCACAGGGCCAGAGTCATAGGTTATGGAACGCCATACTGGTGTCATGGGGCAGCTGATGGGCTCTGATGACTTTCCCACTCTATGTCCAAAGTCTCCACAATTAGAGGATTGGCTCTTCCCAGTGGGATAGCGGCATGACAGTTGTTATGGCTTTCAGATGCCAAAGAGAGTGTTGGGAGAATTAGAAGGCCTGCGTGTTAGTTCTGCCACTAATAAGCTGTGTGACTTAATGCAGTGGTCCCTAACCATTTTGGCACCAGGGACCAGTGCTCCTATGACACTCTAATGCCTGATAATCTGAGGTGGAGCTGAGGCGGTGATGCTAGCACTGGGAAGTGGCTGCAAATACAGATTAAGCTTTGCTCGCTCACCCACCACTCACCTCCTGCTATGCAGCCAGATTCCTAACAGGCCATTGACCTGTGACCTGTGCCAGTCCATGGCCCAGGAGTTGGAGACCCCTGACTTACAGCATATCACTCATCTCTCCAGGTCTTAATTTTCCTGTTTGAAAAGTGAGAGCACTGGACTAGGTCAGAGGATGAAAATGGGTGGTGCATGGGTCATTGGCCTATGGATGTCGGATTTAGGGGAGAAGGGACTTGATAGGGCTTCAACATTTCTCTAATTGGTAACCAATCTTTAAAAATTAGAAGGTCGAAAGTTAAATTCCACATATTCCATATATTTAGGATTTTCCCTAAATATAAAAACCACTGTATTGCCTCTAGACTCTATTACTATCCAGATTTTCTCCTATAATCCAGTCTCCCAACCCCACCATTCCTTATGTAAGACACAAGAGAGAGAAGAATGAGAGATTGAGGAAGTGAAGAGAGACAGAAGGAGGTAGGGGGAAAGCAAATTGGATGGGAGGGAGGAAACAAAGATAAGTAGGTGGGAAGCTAAGAAGAATAGACCAAAAAGAAAAAGAAAAAGAGCCAACACTCATATAGCTTTCTAGGTGTCAGCTATGGCTTTCAGTGTTTTACATACATAATAACTCATTTAATCCTCACAAAAATGAGTTCTATCATTTCTCCTCATTTTACATAGAAGGAAAATGAAGCTCAGAAAAGTGAAGTAATATGCCAAAGATCCCAGAGTTAGGTAGAGGTAGAGCTGGGATTCTAATTCTGCAATGGCTCCCCATCTTACTCAGAGTCCAAATGAGATTCTTTCAACAGCCCCGCACAACCTCTCAACCTCACACCCTTCCACTCTGCCCCTGCCTCACTTGGCTCCAGCCACACTAGCTTCCCTGCTGTGTCTTCCACATGCAGCCATGCCTGTCTTTGTAATCACTATTCCTTCTGCTTGGACAACCCTCCTCCAAATATCTGCACAGTTGGCTTCCTCGGGTCATTCAGGTCTTAATACAATTGTCACCTCCTCTATGAGGGCTTCCTGATTACCCTAATTGAAATTTTTACTCAGACACCCTACTCACATATACAATCCTCACCCTCTCTTTAACCTCTTCCCTGATTTACTGTTCTCCAAAATATATGCCATAATCAAACATACTACGTGTTTTATTTATCTTGTTCATTACTCTTCTCCTCCAGAATGGAGGCTTTAAGAGGGCAGGGATTTTTATTATCCCTTTTGCTCGTTGCTGTATTTTCAGTGCTTAGAACAGTGCTTGGCATATAGGAAGTGTTCAATAAATATTTGTTGAAGCAATAAATTAAAATATGCATGCAAGCAGCCCAGCTTCAAAGAGTCTGATTTTACCAATGTTATTTTCTTGTCCTCCCAGGAAACCCATTGGAGCCACCCCTCTCCTTCTGGGCTATGGCGCCTCTGAGTCAGCTGAGTGGCCACATCAATGCCACCTGTGGGGCAGACAACACCACAGGTGCCAGATGGGCCCGTCCACATGCTTATTATGCCCTCTCCTACTGTGCGCTCATCCTGGTCATCATCTTCGGCAATAGTCTGGTATGTGTGGCTGTGCTGAGGGAACGGGCCCTACAGACCACCACCAACTACCTGGTGGTGAGCCTGGCTGTGGCGGACCTGCTAGTGGCCACCTTGGTGATGCCCTGGGTGGTGTACCTGGAGGTAAGTGAGCCCAGGTTGGGGCTTCCCATGTGACCGTGCTTGTCCTTGTCTTTTCTGATAGTCTGATCTTCTGCGCTCAAAATGCTCCCTACTGTGACAAGAACTTGGGAAAGGAAAGAGAGCTTTTGTCATTCTCTCTTCCTTAAGGAAACCGAAGGTCTTGAGAGCAGCCATTATCTGTATCACTTGCCTACATCAGAACCAGGGAGCTGGAAATGATTCTGTTCCCAGGTCTCCAGTATCCAGGTGACCAGACTTGAGTGATGGGACTCGTCCTAAAAATGAGCAGTTGTACTCTCTCTGCCAGGCATGTCTCAAAGATGTGAGGGCTTGGGGCAGGCAGTCCAATGGGCATCTTCATCAGTGTTTCAATGTACATGGAAATGAGAATGTGCAGGAGGGATGAGGGACAAGGCTGAGGGTGGGGAGGGCAAAAGGAATTATAGGAAAAAAATTAAGGAGATAAAAAGAGAGAAAGAATAGTCTACAAATAGATCAGACTACTTTTGATGGTTCAGTTGCCCTCAGACTAGCTCTTTCCTCCTGGAGAACCAGCTCTTCACAAACTGTAGAGGAATAGACCAAACCTTCAAATTTATAGTTTTGATGTTTCCATTAATAGTATAGAACCGTCACCAGTCAGATAATGCAGCAGACCCTGGAGACTTCTTTTGGAGAGAAACATTTCTTAAATTTGTATGTGTTTTCATTTGAAAGTGCAAAGCAGAGTCAGGAGATGATCAAGACAAAACATCCATTTGCTAACAAAGAAATCTGGGTGCCTATATCTGCTCAAAAAAAAAGATATTCTTACCAGAAAACATGCAATTTACTAAGGAGTTTTTTAAAGACGTCTTAATATGCTATTAATATTTCTCCTCTGCAGTGTTATCATTCTAAGGAAGTATCCAATGAAGGATCAAAATGATGCTATGATTAAGAGAAATTAAAATTCATCAAATTAATATCTCAGTTAATATTAATAGTGAAGATGACAGTTAATTAAGTATGACATATCACAGGAGAGCAAAACCCTCGAACATAGACTGCTTAGGCTATTTCCCATATTAAAGAATGACTGGGAACTAAAATTAGACTTATGATCTCAATGGGGAGAAATAAAAGAAAGAAATCAAGAAAATAAAAAAGGAAAGAAAAAGAAGAAAAGCGACTATGACTATTGGGATAAGAGAATACTCAGAGAAAAAAAATATGCATTTATTCTTCCCAGTTAGGATAATCCTGATGGCAAAGGGTCCTATAATTATCCTGACTTTCCTGTCAACCTGATTAGGCTGAGACATTCTTGAATTCAGAGGCTATGTTTTTGTCCTTTTTATCCTATAGTCCAAACATGCTACCTGGCACATAATATGTGCTAAATAAATATTTGATATATGAGTGATTAAATGAATCTGTTCTGCAATGTGTGCATTAGATGGGCAATTCCTGCTTATATCATTTGCTGCTGTATCTATTGTGACAATGAACTATTTTAACATTCAATAATAATGAGACTAAAAGGGAGTTAAAAGCATGTGATATTTCTGTTCAAGAGTGAGGCAGACTTTAGGTGCTAGAACCCAGTATGGATTAGTCAATGATTCATAACACCTCCACCACCACCACCCCCCCTCCAAAATGTTTCTGTCTATCCCTATACATTACAAGAATTCTTAAGTCTTCCAGGAAGATGAATGTCAGAAAAAAAAATGCAGGAAGAGGACTTTCAATCTAATAAGCATTTTAATTGCCTCTGAAATAAAACCAGGCTTTTCACATCTGTAACAAAGCCACCTGGAAGATTGCTTCCAGGACTCTGGATGGACTACATTAGAAAATCTCTGGAGATATTGTTATAGGGAATGAACGTTGTAACTTCTTAACTTTAGACACATGGCAGCCCCTTCTTGCCACACCTGTCAAAATAAATGATGCCCCCATCCTACCACTAAGCATAGAAGAACAACTGAGTCTGCAGAGGGCCAGCATGAAATCTTGCCAAAGGCTCAATGGGCCCTCTGCAGGTTGGATCTACAGGTTTTTCCCTGTGAGAAAAATTCTGATGGAACTCTTGGTTTCCCTTCATAAAATGAATATGCCCTCTGTCCAATGGGTTATTTGGTGTAGGCACTCAACAATCAAGAGCATGGTCAAATAAGTCTACAATCATATAAAGAAGATTAGGGGAAACAGAGACATCTCTCCATTGAGAAATAGGCTTTGGGGCCTCTTTTTGGTCCTTCTCACTTGCTTCAAGGCTCTAGACAATGCAATTTAATATCTCCATATCACTTTCTCCAACAGTCCACTCAGTAAAAGATAGAATATGACTTAAAGTAACCATCAGTAACAGATGACCAGTTAAGATGTTAGAAAGTTCTAGTCCAAAGGATCATGACTCGCTATCCCACCTCAGTTTATACTTTTCTTAGTCTTAAATACCTGCCTGCTTTCTGTGGACCTCAGAAGCAGATGGTATGCCTTAATGAGAGAAAACAGCACTTTGAGCCCCTATAGGGACTGTGAATATATAAACCCATGTGTTTCAGAGAAGAGCAAAGCGTACTCTCGCTGACTTCTAACGATGGCACAGTTTAGTGGCTGGTCTAGTAATTGCATAATTATACCTAAGAGCTCCCTTGGAAAGAGAAAAGGATGCAGTATTGACCACAGAGATTGCTGTAGGCTTGAGGGTCCCCAAGAGAATAGGACAGAAATGAGAAGAACACCATGTGGGAGGCCAAATTAGCTGCCAAATTCACAGCTTCTTATGGTTTTATTTGAATAGATTCATTTTTTTTTTTTTTTGACGAGAATACTGGCTCATATTGACCAGATACCTTCCTATGAAGGAAAATTGACTCATTTTGTCAGACACCAGAATGTATGAGTTGGTAATGTTTGGGCTGGGCTGTAAATATTAGAAAATTTGACTGACTGTGGCTTAAATGAATAGAAGTTACTTTTCTCACCTAACCAGAATCTTGGAGGAAGGTAATTGTTGGTGTTGGTTCAGCTGCTCCATGGTGTCATTGAGAACTAGATTGTTCTATCCTTCATGCTCACCATCCTTGGCAAGCTGGCTTACTTCCTCATGCTGCTCACAGGATAGCTGCCATATCCCCGGCATCATGGCTGCATTTCAAAATAGGATGAGTGAGAACAGCAGAGAAAGGGAAAAGAAGCCCTTTTCCTGGAGCAGCTTAAAGCATCTCCCTAAGGGACTTCAGTTATGGCCAAAACTGGAGCATAAAGTCACTTTTTGCTGCAAGGGAGGAAAGAAAATAAAAGGTAAAAATGTGGATTTTATTAAAAAAAGAATATGTGGGGGTGAGGAATTGCTGTGAGGTAGGCAATAAAATGTCACATACCATCATGCTTCTGCTGGAATTCACTGCGATGAATGTCATTCTAATACAGAGTCGTGCTATAAGAAAGACACAGAACTGGGAGTCAGAAGATGTGGGAATTAAGTGAATAAAATGGAGATGACAACTACACTTCCCCTATTCCATAAGGTTGATGTTAGGCTCAACAGTCATCAGTGGAGGAAGTATTTTAATAACTAAAAAGTGTAATCTATAAATATCTATAAATATCTCAGACACCTTAACTTGTAAGTAAAAGAAAACTTAGCTCCAATTGACTTGAACAATAAACAGAATAAAACAATGAAGTTCTCATACCAGGAATTTTAAAGTCTTGTGGTTAGGAAGACTACAGGCACAACTGGAAAAGGGGTCCAGCTCTATTTCTTTACAATTCTCTCAGCTGTCTTCTTCCTTATGTTGGCTTATCCACAGGTAAAGGGTAAGCTATAGTCTTCACATATGCACATTACACCACTCACAGCAAGAGAGAAAATTTGTCCTAGAATTTCTAGTAGAAGTGTCAAGGTATACTTTGATCGGACTGGTTTGTGGGACATGATTTTCTCTGAACTAATCACTGAATACAAGAGTTGGTTTAGCATAGGTTATGTATTCCTTCTGTGGAATGTATCGACTGCTCAGGAATCTCATAGATTCCCAGTAGAATCCAAAGACTTGGAAAGAGGGAAGGGGACAGTCAGAAAGTATGCACCACAGTGGTTTTCATTGATACCATTCTCATCATTAAGGAGCATGGGCTTGGGCGGTATATAAAGGGGAATGAGCAGGGGTCAGTTACTAACGCCCATCAGTTTTCTCTGTCCCCAGGCCTAGCAGAGTAGTCTTGATAAAAAACCATGCAGGTGACCTCAGAGTAGTTATATTCCAGAGTGCCGTTGGCCTGGCTGTCTCTTTAATTCTATTTGCAGCATTTTCTCAAAAACTCTTTTCTATGTCATACCAAATAGTTCTATCTCAGATTCTCTCTCGAGTTTTTAATTTCCTGCTTTAGAAGCTATAGTCTGTTTGGAGCTCCCTCTCCAAGCACAACCATCCCATTTTGTTCCACTCGGTTAAGCATCTTTTGTGATGTTTAATGCACTTATATCAAGGCAGAAAGGCAAAATAAGCAGCCAGAAGAACATTTGGAATACTGAACTCAGAGTACTTGGGTCTCAGTATGGACAGGAAATAAAATTCGAGGGTTAAGTAATGTAGACAAGCAAAAAAGAGCAGGATGGTTTCAGGTAGGAAAACTCACTGCAGAGAGAGTGATCCAGGTCAGATAGGGATGACAGGAAAAAGCAGCACTGTTTTGAGAGAGAGGAGCTTTGGGCCTTGTAATGATGCTAATCATCAGAAATAAAGGAAATTCTGCATTTTAAATAGGCTCCTCCATGATTCTTATGCACCTAAACTTTGAGCAATTCTGAAGTAAATCTTCATTACAAGAAGCTGCCTGTTCGAAATACAGACTGTTGGGTCTACCTCATTTCTAACAAACTGGAATTTCCAGAGGTGGCCTTGGAAGTGTCTAATAATTGTAACCAGCCTCCCACCTCCCACCCTTCTCACACCCCGTGATTTGTGCAGCCAGTTAGCTATCTGCTACAAATTGACATTTAGGAACCACTAATCTGTAAAAACCCCGTTTCACAGATGAGGAGTTGGAATTCAGAGACGTGAACCCCCAGAAATCCCCTCTTAAAAAAAATTCTAAATATGACAAACCAAAACGAAATAAAGAGGCTAATTAGAGCAGTAATTCCATCTTTACCCCCTGACTATCTCCCAAAACAACTAAAAATCCATCCGTTAGGGCAAGAATTCTTAATCTGGGGAGTCCACCAACTTGGAGGTAAATAAAATTACTTATTTTCACTAAGCTGAAATTTAGCACTTCCATCAACTATGAACGTAGGTATCAACCCACAGCAGGAGGAATCCTTAGTGTCACCAGTAAAATCACAGATATTTATACTTTCAAATCACATTATTGTTGTTGCAGACACCTTGAAATACCATTTACACTCATTGGTACTTTGAAATTACAGGAATTTTGAACCTGCCAATAGGTCTTATCATTTAATGCATTATTAAAGAGACACATATATTTAAAGTACTTGGTAACTGTATTTCAATATAATTGGTATTCTTTGCAATCGTCGCATTTTATTGTATGCACTCAAACACATTCTTCTGAGAAGGAGATGACGACGCTAAAGGGATCCATGGAACAAAAAGTGCTTAAAGGAGCCCTGCTTTAGGATGATCATCTCTGAAGCTGATTTCATGTCCCCCACGCCCACCAGACCAGCATTTCCCAAACCTCTCAGGAAATAGAAATCACTGGAGGGACTTATTCTAAGTATAACCTGAATATCATTTTGTTTAACAAGAGCCTCAGGTGATTTGGGAAATGCTGCCTTATAATCTGTAAATTTGGGAAATGCTGCTGTAGGCTGTGGCTGGTGAAAATCAATAGCCAACTTCTGTACCTGAAGACACTTTCTTGCTTACTCCCACCTTCCCTATCGCCAAAGGGAATTAGTTATATTCATTAGCAAGTAAGAGTAACACCACCTGGCTGCTGTATGATTCTGAAGTGAGTTGTTCATTAGAATTTAGGAGAAAGGTAGAATCGTGTCTCTAAAGAGCCTTAAATCAATCACATTTTGGGTTTGGTTTTTTTTTTTCTTTTTTTTCCTGCTTTAATTGCAAAAATCACTTTACCTTTCATGTTCTCCCAACACTTTCTACTTATCTCACTGTCAGCACTTATCACATTGTATTATCGTTATTTTCTTAGTGCCTCTCTCCTGGGCCCTCAATTCGCCCACACACATTCACAGATTACTCCCCTAAACATGCACACGCCATATTCTGAGTCCCTTGGGACAAAAACAGGTTTAATTCATTTCACTAACTGTCCCAAGCAAAGTATCGGGCCTATAATGGGCACTCAATCAATATGGGGTATACAGCTGGATGGATGGACAAACACCAAGTCTTCTCCCTCCTGTGTTATTAGAATGGAATTAAATTGTACACTTCACAGAAGTGAGTGTTAAGGTGCTGACTTTTGAGAGGCAAAATAGAGTTTTAGACTCCAGCCCTTCTACTAGCTATATGTCCTCAGGCAAATTACTCAACCCCCTCTTGGTCTCCATTTTGTTATCCATAGACTGGAAATACTATTTATCTCATTGGGTTGCTGTGAAATAATATGTGAAAGTTACATGTTCTCAGACCTTTGCAGCTCTTTATTCATCACTTACTATTATTTTCTTGGTGTGGAAAACTCCAGTAAAAAAAAAAAAAAAAAGTATTTCCATTACACATCCCACCAATTAGAGACTCATTTTAATGAGTAAGCTCTGGGGAAGGCTAAGTGATGGCACCTCAGTGGGAATTACTTTAATCAGCTAATCAGATTGTTTTCTTCTTGTCACTTAGCTGAGATCAAGGAGAGAAATTTTGATGGCAGAATTGGAAAAGGGAGGAGTAGATAGCCAGAATGGGGTGGCACAGTGGCGGCCTGGAAGCCAGAGGACAGCTTGAGGGCTTTGGCCCTTGTGAACTAAAGAAACAGGGTAGCAAAGAAATCTGCTATGTGTGTACTTTCACTCGGCCCCCAAATCAGCAGCCACCACAGTTTTTTGCACAGCTTTTTGCAACTCTGATATAGAGGCGATCAGAAGCAGGGTGTCTCATTCCATAGAAGGGAGATGATTCAGTCTGTCACACGAAAATTTTTGATGAGTACATGGTCTTCTCCTTTCCCCTTGTGTTCACCCATTTCCCTCCCTTTCCAATAACTGCCCCCTCCTCACTTGATACTTCCATATTTCAGGGCATGGAACAACCTACATTCAGATGCCCTGGCTGCCTCAGACAAGGTGCCAAGCCTCTCCAAGCTTTAGTCTCTTTCTCCGTGACACAGGTGACAGTAGTCCTCTCTCATAGGACCATAATTGGCAATGGACGCCACGTATATAAAGTGCTTTGCAGAACATCAAAACTTAGTAAGCATTCAATAAATGCTAGCTATTAGTATAAATACAGATTGTTTCAGAGACTATTTATTCTTTCAGAATAGATTTGCATGCTGAGCACTGCTCTAGGAGCTGGGGATGCAGCAGCAAACAAGTATAAGTCCCTGCTCCTACAGAGTTGATTAAGTAACAATCATTTAATTTCCTATCAAGTAAGTGTATAATTTGTCCTCAAAAATCTGTAAGAGCACATAAGGTAAAAAGCGAATTCAGTTTTCAGAATCTAAAGTTTCAAAGCTATAGAAAAAGCTATAGAAATTCCTGGAATGGGTCCTATGGGTCAGTGACCCGCATAGAGTAAGTTCTCAATAAATGTTAGATTGTATTAACAATACTAGAATCTCATGATGTTCTCTAATTATTTTATTTAAGAATGTCTTGCTTTTCCAGTAAACTTATAAGTTCTTTGAGGACAGGGCCTGAAGTGCATATTTAAAGCTTCTTAAAACACATAACATGCACTGAGTATTAGAAGCTCCACAACTACTTACTTTACGAATGATTGAATGAATGAATGAACACCCATCAAGAACTAGAGTTTGCTGTTGTTTCAACTACTCTCTCTCATCTGCTTTGCACCCCCAAGACACATGCAAACAGGCACTCACAATTTTGGGAAAAGGGTGGTTTTTCCCCAATTTAAGATGTAGTATGCAAAATTCAACTTCTTGCAAGAAGCTTTTATTGTCCTAGGAAATGAGCAAAACTATCTTTTACTCTCCTGGCTCCCTTAAATCATTGTGTTATTATTACTACATATCACCCTTTTTAAAAGCTTTTCATTCTCAAAAATCGTATAAATTCATATTAGGCCTTTATTTACTTAGAGCCAAATGGTTGGACTTAGAGAAAGTAAACCCACAACGAAATGAACGAAAGTGATAACTGCTTAGCTAGTTTGAACTTTTTATTGTTGCTTTTTTCTTTCCTTGTTGCTTTTAATCAAAATATCTTTGGTCAGAGTTTCTCAAAATAGAGATGACCAAATATAGTGATAAAAACAAATGCTAAAAAGGAAATAAATCCACGGGGAAAGAAGTTAATAGGTAAGGGGATGGGTTGAGAGCCTTTCAGGACCTTGCTTTAGTGGGATAAAATAGGAATGAACATTAAAGTGACCTGGTCATATAACAAGATTCTTGGATGAGAAAAACTAGACAGAGGAACAGCACCATCTTTAAGCACTATTGTTTCAACAATGTCTCTTTTTGCCCCGAGAAGTTCAGAAGGCAACTGCACCTATTTATCACTCTCCCTTCCTCTTAATTAGCCATTGGGCCTGCCCAAAAGGGACACCAGCTACTGCCAGGGACAAAAAAGCCTCAAAGGTTTATGCTTGAAAACCATGGTCCCCAAGAACCTCCACAAGCAGGATGCTGGCAAATGAACAAAAGCCTTGGGGCCCAAGAATGGCATTTGTAGACATTCTAAAAGTGGTAGTCTCCCTGACACATCTCTCTAGGTTAGGTAAAAAAAAAAAAAAAATTAATAAAATAGAAATATGTGAGAATATAAATTAAATTATTTAAATTCCTGACTTTTTATAAGTGTTACTGGGAGGAAGTTGTGGAGCTTGAAACATGAGTGTAAATGCATGAGGTCGGAACCATCTTCACTGATTCTGCGAGTGATGAGAGGATTTGGGCCCCTTTCCAGTGCCCTGGACCCAGACTTTCTCCCCATCTCTTAGTGATTGCGACCTGGGTGTCGCAGGCGGGCACACTGGCACAGACTTAACTTACATAGATTCTTAGTATTATTGTTCCAGGATGTTTCCAAGCTCTAAAACCAGAAGCCAGATAGATTTTCATTGTGGAGGTAAGTTTTATGAAACACATGTTCTCGGCTTATTTCCTGGGTACATGGTGAGCTCTCTACTGGATGAGGGGCTTCAGAGAGGCAGTTTTGGCACAGTTCACACATCTGGAAGTCACCCAAGATCATTCAGTACCAGCTGTGCATCTATAGGCATACTACTTAACCACAGAGATCTTTAGTTGCCTCCTGAGTTTGAACTAGATCAGTGATTCTCAAACCTTGGTGTGTTGGCAGGGAAGCGGGGCAAGGGAAGTGGAGAGTTTATTTTAAAATGAAGATTCATGGGCCCCAGATCCAGAGATACTGACTCAATAAGTCTAGGGAGGGGTTCAGAATCTTTATCTTTAATGAGCACCCCATTGTGGAGCACACTTTGGAAGCACTGAACTAATCGATTTGGAAGGCCACTTCTAGTGCTAACGTTCTAACATTCTTTGAATTTGCCATTTCTTGGGTGACCAATCTTGGGCTGCCTTGCACTCTCCTTGATGTCCATCTGCCTTTGGTAACGATGATGTACCAACAGGAAGGGCATTTCAGCATCTTTAGGGGAGCAGCCTAGGGAATGCAGTAGAATTGATGAGTTGCTGTCCCTTTGTTGGGGAATACTAACATCCTTGTCTCTGATGCCCAGGTAACAGGCGGAGTCTGGAATTTCAGCCGCATTTGCTGTGATGTTTTCGTCACCCTGGATGTCATGATGTGTACAGCCAGCATCCTGAATCTCTGTGCCATCAGTATCGACAGGTCAGGATTCCCTTTCCTGACTTAGGAGAGTGGCAGCCTTAGATCGGGTGGGGAAGCCGCTTCGGCTATATTTGAGACACAGGCTTTGCATTTGAGGGCACTGGGGTCACTGCAAAGTAGAACTTACCACTGGGATATTTTCTTTCTTCTTTTTATTTTAAACTATGGCTTGTGAGTGAGAAAGAAATCCCTGTGGCAGGAGAGAAATAATCATCCAAAAGCTTTTCTAGCCTTCCCTTTCCCCCCGAGTCACTAAAAATGATTTTGGTTTTGCTCTTCCACCACTGTGGCTTTTCGAGGGGGTGGAGGGGACAAGAATGAAAGGTGAGCTGAATTGGGTCTGGAAGAAAATTTCCTGTTACAACTTTGTTTGTTTTTGGTAAAAGGGGGGAGGAAGAGAGTCTTTGTGTGATTTCTGGATATTTATTACATAAATATGTTATTTACAGAAGTAACAGACAGCATCTGGTTTATTATATCTATACTCATCCTACCTCCTTATCACCTGTGAATCCTCCTGCTATGCCTATTACAGAGCCTTGAACAAAGAATATTAATATTCAGTGGTCCTTACCTGAGGGTAGCCAATGTTTATACTACTAATATGCACCTCCAGAAAGGACTTGAGAGAATGGGAGATCAGCCTTGCAGGAGAGAACAAAGAACTGTATAATGAGAGTTTCCAAGAGAGGTCTGGGACAGCCCCCTCCTAGCCTCCTAGTTCTTGAACCTACTCTCCACCTCCTTGAGAGTGTGCTTATACATTCTACCCACACATATTCATACATGGGGCTGATGGGTGAGGCTGTGCAGTTTGCACCTTACACAACGGTGTGGGAACGCAATTCAGCCAGTGCTTCTTTGCCAAGACTTGAGTCAGCTAGGAGAGGGCCCCTTTTTCTAATTTGCACAAGAGCACTATTTTGCTGGCAGCAGCCATGCTTAGCACACACTTCTACTTTCCCCACTTCAGACACAACCAACAAGAGTAGACCTTGAATTGGCTTCTGTCTCATACAGGAAAATTCCCAGAATGCATAGCCCTTGCCTACCTAAAACCTGAAGGGACGAGCCACGTATGCCTTAGACCCCAGTGGAAAAGGATGCTTCCATCTTGGCCTCTATTTCTGCGCGAACAAATCCTCACCCAACCTCACATTGGAGCCTCCTCCCAAGTCTAGGAATAAAAATCGGCCTTGGGAAAGCTGTCTCCATTATCCTTCACAGCAGTTTGTGGTACACAGCATTAAATTCTGTTCATGTGATGCCAAATAACTGGTCAATTCATTAAAAATGCAGTCATTCATGAAGACCTTTGGTCTTCACACAATGCTAGTCACCAGCCTGACAAACTTGACCAAATGGATTCAGCATTTTTTGGTCATGAAGCCCTGGTCTGTAATAGCAGGGTACTAAGAGATAGGAAAGAAAAAGAAATGACGAAAGGGTTTTTGAAAGCAAGTAGTACTATTGTCATTAGATTCTTCGGCGTAGTTCTGGATGCCTAAAAATTGGATTAATGCCACCTTTTCTTTTTGAAAAAGCAGCGTGGGTGAACACAAGGCCCCATCCCCTTGGCTCCTTGCCTCCGCAGCAGTCCAGCCCCCTCCAACCACATCCTGGGTCAGAACTAACTTAGGGAGAGGGCTGAGAAAGAGTGAGAGGGGGAGGACATGTTTCGAGCAGTGAGAATTTGAGTCCTCCTCGAGGAGCCCGGGAATAATGCAACCAAATTCATTCACTGGGGAGTTCTTTAAGTGGCTCTCAAATGGCACCCATCACACAGGCAAGCCTCCGCGTCTTCGCGTCTTCGCAGGAGCACAATAGGTACCAGATGAGTCACAGGCACCTTGGAGTTTTAGTTTGCATCTAAATAAGCACTTTATATCTGCAAAGGACTTTCCAGTCATTTGCAAGAAGCTTTCTCCTTCAATAATTCCATGAGGGGAGTCCACAGAACTAAAGATTTATTGAGCCCGCTGTCTGACAACATGAAGAGTGGTGAAAAGCAGCCCTCACAGAGCTCTGGGGCTCATTAAACCCAGGCGGGAGTTAAGCTCAGGCCCTCCCAGCCAGCCCAGCCTTTCTTCTGCCCCATGACCAGCTTCCTCAAGTGGCACCCTCATCAGTTCCTACAAGTACACCTCCCACCCTGGTACAAGGCTGTAGGTGGAGGTCAAATTCTGCGAGGATCCTGAGACCTTCAGTAGAGTGACAAGCCCAAAAACCTCAGTCACAGAATTAGGAGTTAAGAGGATCATGTAGTTTAACTCCTTTGTGCAGAAATGTTAACATGCTTGCAGGGGGTCCTGCGGCTTCTTATGCAGGTCTGGGACTAGAAGCTGAGTGCCCCAACTCCTCTGCCAGTACTCTGCCTGTTCCAATATCTGGACTTTACATTGGTGGAGGTGGAGATAGGGTACCCAGGGAGGGGCCTCTGGCCATGCCAGCAGCCCAGCTCTTTAGGTGCTATTTCCCTGGAGTAAACAAGACACAGTTCCTATGTCTTTAATACCCCCAGCTACCTGCACGCTCATCCTAACTTGCCTGACTCTGAAAGCAACAACTATAAAAATAGCTACTATTTATTTAGCATGTACTACGTGCCAGGCATTAAGGGCTTTTTATTATTGCTAACCCTCACGACACCCCAGCAAGGGAGCTGTATTATCCCCATTTTCCAAATAAAGATGCTGAGGCTAGACTGTATAGGTAAGCAGTCACTTGTTCATATCACTCAGCTGGTACGTGCAGGAGTGAAATTTAGTCAGCCTCTTTCTGTTCCCCACACTGACTTCTGCAGAGGTGCTTAGCCACACTGGAACCACACTGTCTGCCTGAAAATCCTGGGTCAACCACTTAATCACAATATAACCTTGGGCAAGTCAATTAACCTCTCTGGGCCTCAGTTTTCTTATCTGTTTAGTGGCAATGATAGCAAAAAGATTGTTTTGAGGATTAAATGAATTAATATCTATAAAGCTTCATGCAGTTGACTGGCACATAGAAAATGCTTTATCTGGTTTGATAAATGTAATGTTCCCGGATAATCAGGAATTAGGGTCAGATAGTCATAAATTTACTGATATGAATAATTCCAGATCCCTTGAGCTAGCACAATAATAATGACAATTATAATAATTCTATTTTTTAATGTTTAACATGTACCAGGCATTGTGCTAAAAAACAAACAAACAAACAAACAAACACCTTCACAGAGCTACCCTCGTTCACTATTCATAACAGCCCTATGGAGCTGAATCATTATCCCCATCATACAGACAAGGAAGATGAGTCTGAGAACGCCAACTCTCTGGCCCACGGGCAAACAGTTAAGTGAAAGAACTGGGAATCGGGTGCTAGTTAGTCTGTTTCCAACGCCCACAGACTTCGCCTTGCGCATTGCCGGTGTTCTTGGCCACACTAGAAAGGACCCAGAGAGCTAGGAGCTCAAACACAAGGGGAGAGGGCCTGACGAGGGAGCGACAGGGGCAGCTCTAGGCTGTGGAACCCCGCGGTGAGCGCAGCAAGCCACACGTTCAAAGGAAGCCCTGGGCTAGGCTCCAGCTCCAATCCAAACCCAGCTCTGCCCGTGCCTAGGGTCTGTCATCTGCGATCGATTTGGCAGGAGATCAGAGTTCGGGTGCTTGGGTGGGAATTCAGGGTCCTTACAATGCTCCAGGAACCAGGAGGCCGAGCGATGCCTCCCTGCATCCCACAAGGCCTGGAGAGCCCCCAGGTGAGCAATGAACTTCTCACCCCCGACGAGCTGGCAGAGTTTTTGCTGCATTATGGTGCCCTCCGATGGCTAATTCCGGAACAGCCTTTATATCTCAGCACTTCTGGCCGGCTTCCTGGCGGAAAAACCCTGGAGGCAAGTTTCGGGGCCTCATTTATTCTAAATGTTTAATTGTGATGAAAAAATAATTAGAAAAAAATGTAAAGTAACAGTAGTAAATATAGTCTCATCTCTTACTTCTTACACAAGCTAACAAGAAGTTTTGACACAAGTTTTCCCTAAAGTAACCCTTCTCAAACTTGGCTAATCATAAGATATACTTGCTTGTTAAAAATATGCATTTCTGGGTTTCACTCCAGATGCACTTAATCAAAATATCCAGGTGTGTGGCCTGAGAATATGTACTTTACCAGGACCCCCAGGCAAGTAATAGAATCAAGTTACTAGGGGAAACTCAGCTCCAAGCATCCACAGTGCTCTCAAAGTAAAAACCACCCTTCACAGCACCTTTCCTCAGGAAGCTCTTGTCCCACAAGGCCTCAGAGACTCATCAATGCCCATGAGAGGGAGTGGGGCACCCAGGAGAGACACTGGCCTCCAAAGTGAGAGACCTGGCTCTGCCACGACCGACTGCCAGATCTTAGGTTCATCAAGTAACCTCTCTATGTCTCTTGATTCCTCTTTTATAAAATGAAGCCAGGGTTCTCTACACTTTCTGGCTTATTGAATTAACAAGAGCCTCCAAGGAGCTGCTGAACATTAAAGCATATTTAGGAAAGTAAGCAATTCTCAGTAGTGTGCTTAGAGCCAGCTGGTGATGGCTAGAGAAAGCTAACTGGCAAAATTTTAAGAATTTTTTGAGCCAGTTATTAAACCTTTTGGTGTAGCTTGAAACGGGCAATGGTGAGAGTATTTATACCATGGAAATTACCAAATGGTACAAATGAGAGTTTTTTCACCTAGAGAGCCAGTTATTAGCCATTTAGCAGCACACCACTGAGTGTATGGGATGGTCTGGCTTTTTTACATCAAAGGACATTATATAAATGGAAGCCTGGGTCCAACTGCATGTCTAAACTGGAGGAAGTGGGTCATACCTTTCCTTCTCAATCTTCAACAGCTGTTCAGCCACAACGGCTACCTGACTCAGAGCTCAGTCTCTCTCCAAGGTCCCTCAGGGATTGCTACTAAGGATCTGGCCCTGGTAGGCATATTTGACTTGAATCCACAGCTCACTGTCCCAGCAGAGTCTGAAGTCCTGAGGAGAGTGAGAGGCCTGGAGAAATGCCAGGTGCTACTTGCCCTGCTCCTTCATTGCCAAGTTAGGGGTTCAAAGGAAGATTTGCAATGTATGTACATCAGAAGGTCACTGGGTTGTCATGGGCCTTCCTTAGCGTTGGTCATAGACTCTTAATATGACCTTATTAAATAAGGGCCTCTATTTCTCCCTTTTGAGAAAGAAGCCACCTCTGTCACATATCATGGTGCCAAGGTCAAATCTTGCAAATCTGCCTCCATTTCAACCATCAGAGCTGACTCTCAAACTGCTCTTTGGGAATACAAATGTGAATATATGAACTTAGGCCAGACGCATAAGAGGCAGATGATTCAGACAGGGTTGGCACATACAAGAGGAGCAGCAGGGAGCGCTGTGCCAGCCCCTCCAACCCAGGGTCTTCCCTTCCCTTCTTCAGCCCCAAGCCTTGACGTGCATAGAGGGGCTAAGAAGGCTCCTGCTCTGAATCTGACCTCCAGGTTCCCTGGACACAGAAAACAAAGAAAAATTGAGCGTATATAGACCCAGCTTTACATGTCAAACCTCTTGAGCTTGGCTAAGATTAGAATTATTCTCTTATGAGGAAGGAAGCCTTCAAGATCCATGAAGCAATCAATCAATAGCTTCTTACTTCTTGCTTTGTACAAGGACCTATGGGGAATACCAAGGCTATAAGATAATTTGAGCTATCAAGTAACTTAAATCATATGGGGACTATCTCTCTCCAGACATGAGGCGAGTTCAATAATGAGGCGAGACAACCGCATGCAGAAGAGCAAGGCGATTGATTGGAGTAGAAATGTTATGTATTCAGAGTCAGAGTTCTCTATAAGATGAAGGACTGGGAAGGTTGCCGGAGAGCTGATCTGGGATTAAGGGAGGGCAAGAATGAGCCCTTTTTTACTCAGGGGAAAAAAAGGGATAACGGATTGAACAAAGACACCAGTCTCTTCTGCTGTTGTGGAACAAATGATCACAAGTGTAATGGCTTAAATTTAACCCATTTTTTATCTCACAGTTTCTGTAGATCAGAAGTCTGTGCACACTGCAGGTAGGTTCTCTGCTCAGGGTCTCAAAAGGCTGAAATCAAAAGGTGTAGGCTGGGTTTTGTTCTCATCTGGAACTCGGAGTCCTCTTTAAAACTCATTCAGGAATAGAATTCAGTTCCTTGCAGTTGTAGGTTTGAGTCCCCACTTCCTTGGTGATTGTCAAGCAGGGGCTATTCTCAGCTCCTATAGGCCTTTTGTTATTTCCTGTCAAATGACCTTTTCCAAAGCATGACAGCTTTCTTCTGCATGGCTCACAGGGTAATCTCTCATGCTTTGAATCTCTCTGAATTAAGGAAGGGCCCAGTCTTTTTTAAGGACTTACCTGGTTAGGTCAGGCACACTGAAGATAATCTCCCTTCCGATTAACTCAGTCTCTTGGTTAGTAATCTAATCACAGGAACAATATCAAATCATACTCACATGTTCAGTCCACATTCAGTGGGAGGGGATTCTACAGGGACATCATAATGGGTAAGTTTACAGGACCTGCTCTCTTTCTGGTTCTTCTCCTACTTTACCCCATGGTTAGGTCCCTCTTACCCCTCTCATTTCCCTGCCTAGTCTATTTTGGTTTGCCGCTTCTTTATAGCCTCCATTATTCTCAAACATGTCACCCAGCTTATTTCTTTCATGAAACTCTTCAGTTTATATTAACATTTTTTTGTTTCATCCACTCCACCCAACTCCAACTTCCATAAAGACAAGGACCATCGCACATCTCTATATTTCCAGAATAGGGCCTGGCATATAGCAGGGATTCAATAAATATTGAATGATGAAAGGGTGAGAAAATTATATAGAAGGGCCAAAGGAGAGTTAAAAGGCCAGAGTATTGAGTGTGGATGTCTTGAAGAAAGTCAAGAAGTGGAAACAGATTAAAGGATGTGGGGAGATAGGAATATCTAAATCAGATAACTTGCATTTGAAATGACTGTGGAACAATTGTCCAGATAATAAGGTCAACAAGCAACTGGAAATGTGTATGAGGAGCTGCCATAGAAAAGACAACGATGCTCAACATGTAAAAGCTTGTGCTGTAGTCTGAAGGTTTGTGTCCCCCAAAATTCATACATTGAAATCCTAACCCCCAGAGTGACGGTACTAGAAGGCGGGACCTTTGAGTGGTGATTAGGTCATGAGGATGGAGACATCATATATGAGATCAGTGCCTTTATAACCCCACCGAGCTCCCTTGTCCCTTCCACCATACGAAGACACAATGAGAAAACAGCAGTCCATGAACCAGGAAGTGGGTTTGCCAGTGCCTTGATCTTGGACGTCCTAGCCCTCTGAACTCTAAAAAATAAATGTTTGTTGTTTAACCCACTCAGACTATTTTCAAAACCTCTGTTATTTAGAATAGTTGCCACTAGAAGAATTAGAATTTATTTTAGGATACAAGCAGGGGTAAACATCCACTTTGGGTACATTATCTGAAGTCCTACCATTATCTGAAGAACTGTGGGAGAAAGTAAAGGCACACTTCAGCACCCAAAGTCGTCAGGGGTCAGAGCAGTGAATACAGTGCTCAAATATGCTGGGCCATCAGTCGGCACTGGTAAAGAAGCATTCTGGCAACCCAGTGCTGCTATGCTAACTTTTTTATTCTTTCTCTTTTTTTCTGTTCACCCCCTGCTTAACGAGTTCTGCATCTATCTTATCTCAACCTTTCTACTATTTGCACCTTTTCTCTATCCAACAAAATTATTTTTCTCTTGCCACATTTACCATCCTGATTATTTCTCTAGTAACCTTCAACTTGTCTTTCTAACCGTTCCCCCATCATTTCTCATTATATCTACCCTCTCTCCCCTTCCTTTGAAAGGTACACTGCAGTGGTCATGCCAGTTCACTACCAACACGGCACGGGACAGAGCTCCTGCCGGCGTGTGGCCCTCATGATTACAGTGGTCTGGGTGCTGGCCTTTGCCGTGTCCTGCCCTCTCCTCTTTGGCTTCAACACCACAGGTAACAGTAACGACCCCACTACAACACTCATGTGATTCACAGCACACAGGAGTGTCTGCGAATTGTGTTCAACCCTGAAATTCTTGATGCCTGGTCAGTGCATTTTATAATCAAATGAAGATGCTATAGACTGCAAAGCTTTGACCTTTGTTGATTATAATAAAATATAAAGCAAGCTTCATCAATTATTGGCACAGGGATAAAGTTCTGCCCCAATTAATGAAAAGTCTGGCTTATCCCTATTTTCAAAGAAATGTCAACATATTCATTTGAAAAAATGTGCCATTTAAAAAACTAAGCCATATTAATAATCCAGGTGAGGTTTGCTAATGAAAAGATGACAATTCATAATGGACTTACAATGCTAAATAACATATCATAAAAGCCCTCAAGTAGGATATATTTTTCTAACTTTTGGTCAGTAAGAATCATTTCTAGCATTTGGGAACTACTATAGGTTTCTAAATTATTAGTGAGTGTATTTCTTATATGTTAATATACAAAAGTTCTGGCCATGATAACTGGCACATGGTACATCTTCTATTGGATAGATGGATGGATGGATGGAAGGATGGATGGATGGATGGATGGATGAACAATGTGTATATCTGAGATGTTTAGGATTTTAGACATAAGACACCAGTCCAAATTTATATGTCATATAGATCGGTGCCTTCTGTGTCTGTTCCATGTCCATCTTTTAGCCTCAGGAATTTTATGTGTTGAATGAAAATTATTATCACATATAGTAAACTTACGGGTATTGATGATAAACACTGAGCATTTGCTGAGAGAGAACTGATTAACTCTCATTCTAGAGTTCATTTGGATTCCTTGTTTTGTCCATTTGGATTGGTTTGTTCAATTACTACTTATGTTCGAGGTATGAATTTCTCATATATATGTACAAGTCACATGTTTGTGACTGTGAGTTCATGTGTATACAGATAGCATACATAACACATTACATATAAATACAGGCAAATCTTAACTTATAAATGGTCTTCAAAGAGTCATTTGCTGGACAACAATTTAGGAGTCAAAACACATTTAGAAAGACACACAGAGGCTCTGGAGTCAGAACAACCTAATTCAAATTTTCATTAAACTACTTGCCAACTGTGTCTCCTTGAACAAGTTACTTAACTTTTCTGAGTTAAGCTTCCTTATTGATAAATTTGGAATAATAATATAGTGGAGCATAAATGAGCAAATTCAAATGTATAGACTCAGTCTATGTATTTAGTTAGGAAGTTTTCAATATTTACTTTTATATATGACTCTCTGCAACTTCGTCTCTAAAATTACATATTACATTTGAATTCTTTTTAATATATGACATATCACTGTATATATCATACATCTTTACTTATTATTGTTCAGGGCTGTAATGAAACCACTTGTATCTTTAAATGTAATTCAAGGGGTTTTTTTTTCAAAAGCAAATTTCAACTCTGTATAGTTTTCACTCTACTCATGACTTTGGAATCCAACACTACATATTATATAATTCCACTCTAACTCTTTCATAGGTTTTTTAGAATTAAGTGAGGATAAAATTGGGATAACATACATACATGTACCATCTGGTCAAGGTCAGGCTGTTTCTCTGCTACATTAAAGGTTAAGTAGACAAGTTATCCAACAAATATTTGCCTGGTTATCTCGGGAAGTTCCTAAAATATGATGTTATTATTAAATTTTCATTACTCTTCATCATGAGTTACTTTGCTATTTTCACTGAATGATACTTTATACACACAAATATGCATTTGCACATGTGTGCACACACACACGTGCACGTGCACACACACACACACACACACACACACACACACACACACCCCAAAGCAACATTCCCCAACATGACTATAAAGACTGACTCCGAAACTAAAATACCAGTTTTGATGAGTTAAGTTTGCTTTTTCTGGTTAGTCTGATAACTAAGTCACCTTTTATATCCTTGTTCCTATACAAAAGCGCATTTCTAAGTTGGAATTTGTAGTCTGGGGCCCTCACTACGACTGCTAGACCAAGGCCTTGCTGAATCCCTGGGTGAATCCCCACCAATGTTCACTGGACTAGGTGGTTCCTCTTACTCATACTTGAATGCTGGCAAGGGCTCCCTTACTCTCACAGACAGAGACACGCACACCCAGTAAGTGTTAAAACAGTCTCAAAATCTGACATTAGATGGAGTCCCCAGTTAATGTCCACATCTAAAGGGAAGAAGAATGATGAGCTACCTATATGGTTGTTGCCACCAGTAAGATTATTTTCATTCCAGAAACAAAACTCAGAAAAATCTTTCCAAAAGCATTTTCAGATATAGAAATGAGAAAGCTAAGAAGGCCCATGACTTAGTATGTACACTCTCATCTCTCTTAATCTCTCTCTCTCTCTCTCTCTCTCTCTTTCTGACACACACACACACACACACACACACACACACACACACACACACTTTTAAATTTACTAATAAGTTTATTGTAAGCCCTCCACTTATTCATATATTGTTCAAAGTGTCAGGTCCATCACAGGAACCTAGTCAATATTACCTAACATTGTTTTTATTATTATTATTATGTATTAAGAAAGATTTGTGTGCCTCAAAAGTTCAATATGCACCTGCTGTTTAGGAAAACCTAAACAGTGGTAGTCTTACTGGTGGTCATAGAGGAAATGAGCTGTCTCATCAGAGAAATCAGTCCAGGGAATTAGTTAGCAGAACTCAGGGCAGGGAAGCCCAGCGTCCTTCTTTGCCTCAATCTGACCTTCACAGGACAGCATCATTATCTTGATAGATGTATGTTCCTCCAGCACCTCTTCCATCTATAAGGTAGTTCCCAAGTTCATTCAAAAGCCCAATATAAATGACTTCTCTCAGTCATTTTTTTCTACTCCCTCTGTGGAAAGCAGAGGAAAAGGGGCAGGATACTGCCAAAAACACCTGATATTGGAAGTAAATAAATTTTCACTAAGAAGTACAACACAAAAGAACTTTCTGGCAGAGTACTTCTTTTCATAAAATGGGCTTTCACATAGTATTGTGAATTATCAGAGAACTTAAGGTAGCGAAAAGTTGAACTTCACATTCTTCCAACTTGGAGTTGCTCTTATTATCTGAGGAAAGGTGAACTTGAATTTCTGAATGCACACATAAGGCAGGATCTTGGGACACAGAGAGTTCCAATGCTGCGGGGCCTGGCTGACCAATGTTGTCCCGGCTCCGAGCAGGGGTCCAGCAATCCGACCAAATATCATACCATCGATAGCCCCTAATGGTCATGGAACATGGAGTGTTGGTGCTAGAGGAAACCCTAAAGATCCTTGAATATGCAGCCCAGTCCTTTCATTTCACAAATAATAAAACTAGTATTTAAGTTTCTGCTCACTCAGATAGCTATTGTGTTATTTAAAAATCCTAGAGTGAATAAGCAATAGCTGGTGACAAGGACTTAAGAAATAGTCAAGGGAGGAAAACCTTAAAGCTAAGAAATCCTATCAACTGGCTTAATTTTCCTTTGAGACAAGAAAATGGAGAAGTACTATTTATTTGATTTTAGCCACAGAACACCTCACCTGGCTTTCAGAGCACTGGAGCCGGGCAGGGCGGGTGGGGAGGAGCTGGATTGAGAAGTATAAAGTTAAAAGAATAATAGGCTCATCCTAAAATCAGATTCATCAGGATCCCCTGTCTTTGCAAACAAGTTGAGGACAAATCCTTCAATGAGCTTGAAGTTCATAACTCTCAAGTGAACCAGCTTCTGGCCTTGCTTTTCACGTCACCATGGGACTCAAATTCCCAGACTAGCCCACAAAAGGCTCTTAGACACTAAGAGCTACCGAGTGTTTTTATCACCAGCACAGTGCCTTGAACACAGTAGGTGCTCCATAAAATTGTGCTAAGCGAGTTAGTGGATGAGTCCTCATCATCAGTTTCCTCCTTAAATGTTGAGATTAATTGAGATAAACAATTAACAGTCTTCTCTAGAGTACATCTTACTTGACAAGATGATAGGATAGTTTCTGGGCTTGTTCTCAGTCTCAGAGAATGAGAAGTAACCCCTGGCTTTTCCCATTATCCTCTAGCCAGTGACTGCTTATGTGCTTATATAAAATGCTCCACTTGGCTCAGTATTTATTCAATAACTATTGTGCTGATAGCACAGTACTGTTTCAATTAAATAATAAAGACAAGGCACCTCATCTTGGGGAAGCCTCAGCTCCTGGGAGGCCTCACTGCCCTCGCCTCCTTGGGATTCAGCAGAGAGAAGCTTCCGGAATTGTGCGTAGTGAGTGCTTCTTGCTGCCCCATACACAGGACACACAAACACCAGCTCATATGTGAGGCTACATCTTCTGAGATCAGATTTTGGATTTGAGAATCCCCAACTCTTTATGAAGATTGGCTGGGTGTACTAACAGCTATTGCTGACAGTACTGGATGAAGCACAAATGTGCGATGTCCCAGTGGTAGAGAGAGGCGGAGAGTCAAAACCACAGAAAGAACATTAGTTTGGGGGTCAGAGTGTCTGGATAAGCTTCTTTCTGCCCCATTCAGGCTGTGTGATGTTGGCCACTTGCTGAACATCTCTAAGCCTTACTTAGTCTGCTCATCTGAGAATAGAATCAGTAATGGCACCTGTGTCACATAATGTTACCATAATGATTAGGTAAGATAATGCGTACAATGCCCTTGGCATAGCACCTGGAAGATAGTCTGCTTCCCTTTTCTCTTCCAAGAGGTGCAAATTCCAGTCCCTCTCCTGGGCGTTGAAGAAATTTCAACATCTGCTAGCAAAGAAGGCAAAACTACAAGGCCCTCCTAAGGAGGAGTAGCAGGACATTTCAGGACATAAAGCAGAGACAAGGACCCTCCTCAATTCATGTTGTCCAGAGTAACAATATACTTGCCGACCCTCTTCCTATCTCCCCCCTGATCGGTGCTAGAATTCCCTGAAAAATCAAATGCCTATCTCACATTCAGCCACCACTAAGCCTGCCCTATGTCCTGCATTCAAAATTCAAGACCTGACATTCTCAGCAAGGAAGCTTCCTCCATTCAGTGCACTCAATAATCCTTACAGGGTGCCACTCCGGCAGGCCTTTTCCCGGGGGCTGCATCCCTCCAGCAAGCCTCTGGCCTGTTGATCGGTAGCACTCCCCCAAGCTTCGCAGGCTGCATTCCTCTGTGACACATAGCACAGCATATGGAAGGGCTCATCTTTCTGTCTAGACTGTGAACTCCTTCAAGGGCGGACGTTGTGTCATATCTCTTTGCAGTCCCAGTATAGAGCAGTGTCTGGCATGTAATCATTGGTAAGTTTTCTTTTTAAGCGAACTATGAGTAACAAAAAGATGAATTAGGCCTCCTATCCTCAGCAAGGTAAAACCACAGGTGTCTGAGTCTGCATCCCCCACCCTCACAACTTGACAATCAGGACATGTGTGCTAACTACACAAAAGAAGCCAAAGTAAAGGGCTGTGGGGCACAAAGGAACTAAGAGTTGCTTCTGACTGAAAAATTCAAGCAAGCTGCCATGGATGAGGCAGCATGTGAACTGAGACAAGATGAGGGGATAGATGGGACTGGAGACCCCTGCTTCTCAAAGCTCCATGTAGATTAGACAGTGGAGACACCACATGTGATTTGGGGCCCTGTTTTGTGCTCCCCACTGAGTTCTCATACTTGTCAAACTGTTTTGCTTTCTCCTTTTCTCACACTCTCAGGAGACCCCAGCGTCTGCTCCATCTCCAACCCTGATTTTGTCATCTACTCTTCAGTGGTGTCCTTCTACGTGCCCTTTGGAGTGACTGTCCTCGTCTACGCCAGGATCTATGTGGTGTTGAGACAGAGGAGACGGAAACGGATCCTCACTCGACAGAACAGTCAATGCATCAGTGTCAGGCCTAGCTTCCCGCAACAAGTAAGCATAGGAGGGGCAGAGAGACGACCACACCCACACCTGTAGCGTCCCAGCCTATGTCCAGCAGTGCATGCTTTCTGCCACATTGGAGATATACATTTGACACCCACCTTCTGATCTCCTGGTATTGGCTCTGCTTTAGAGGTAGGAAATACAATCCAAAAAGTGCATTGACAGTCTTCTCTAGAGTACATCTTACTTGACAAGATGATAGGATAGTTTCTGGGCTTGTTCTGTTTCCCTTCGATAGTTTCTGGGCTTGTTCTGTTTCTCTTCCGGTCTTTCATTGGCCCCAAATGGCCAGCAGTTCAGATGTCACATGGTTTAAAGTTTTAGTGTGGCAATTGTATCATGCACTGCTGGTAGGTTCCCAAGACTGACTTTTTGGCCTGAATACTTATTCCAAGAATCATTGGGGTTCATAGAAATCTCTTTTCCTTACTAGATCTGTCCCTATATCAAGGTATTGATGAGCTGGTAGAATGGGATGCTGATGATGCATTTATTGGACCTTTTTTTTAAATTACAGTTTACATTCAATATTATATTAGTTTGGGCTCTTAATAAACTCTGAAAAGGAAGGTTTTTGCCTCAGCATAGACAGTCCAATTTCTTGGGCTTTAACTTCTGCTTATCCAGGTGCCCAGTGTCTCAATAGTTTACTCAGAATGTACTTGAAGCATGAATGCATGACTACCAATTATTAGAAATCTTCTAGGGAGTGAATATTATACAACCTCTGGTTTCATGGAGCTTAGAATCTAGACAAGTAAATAAAGCACACCTCCACCCAAAGTTAATGAACAGCCCTAAACTGAATAGGATGTTTGCCATATGTGAAGTGAAGACAACTGAGCACAAAAATATTAAATACCTTTGAGGTTATGAGAAGAGAGACAGCACTATGCTCAGGAAAGGGCTTTGTAGATAAAGTAAGAAATAAATTTGATCTTTCAGACAGGTCCCATTTGGCTGTCTAGATCACCCTGAATGAGACTCTCAAAGTTGAAGTCCAAAGGCTTGTGTAAAACAAGAATATTGGTCCTTGTGAAACAGGAAGTCAAGATCCAAGGCCGAGGATATAAACATATTGTATTCAAAGCATTGTCATCTATAGCTCAACTGTGTAGAGCTTAACCAACAACTTTTTCTTCTCTAACCCACCCTAGTCTTCCTGTCTTCGGCTGCACCCCATTCGGCAGTTTTCAATAAGAGCCAGATTTCCATCAGATGCTACAGGGAAAATGGTAAGTAAGCCATGTCTTTAATGATAGAGAAAGAATAAGAGAACTTTCTTAAGATGTTGGCTTGACTTGATTCTATTTCCATCCCAAAATGGAATTTAACCCCAATCCCACACTTGTATCTATCATATAGAACAGATCGGAGATCCTACCTGATCTGAGTTTCAGAATAGGAATCATCAAATGATATTCAGGAAGCATGTCACTATATATATATATGGAGAGATCTTAATGACTGGAGCCAAAGACTCTTGGATGTGGTGTGAGGATGCCATCCAGAGCCACCTGCATTAGAAGAAACAGGGCATTAATGAAACATACATGGGTAGAGCCAAAAAAAAGCGGAGAAAGGAGGCTAATGTGAGACATTCAAGTGCCCTATCTGCCACTGAATATGGGAAAAAACAAGACAATTTCTTGGTCACCCTGATCCTTGTTCTTCCAATTCAAGCTAGCCTTGCTTCCAAGCAAGTAGAGTGCAGAATGGAGCCTGAAGATGTTAAATGTAAGACCAGTATTTCTCTCCCAGAACTCCACAGCCAAGTTTTAAAGCTTCAAAAACCCATAATGATGAAGTTCTGAGCCTTGTCCAATCTCTGTATAGTTCATTAACTACTTTTTACACAAGTCTGGTGTAGCAGAGACTTGCTATAAAGGATAAATCCAGAGAGAGAGAGGGAGGAAGAGAGAGAGAGAGAGAGAGAGAGAAGAGAGAGAGAGAGAGAGTGTGTGTGTGTGTGTGTGTGTGTGTGTGTGTGTGTGTGGTTTAAAGTTGGCTATAGCAGATCTAAGATCTGAGGAGGGTGTAAGTCCAAAAGGAAAAACACTGGTGACTACTAAGGAGAGAGAGAGAGAGAGAGAGGTTTAAAGTTGACTATAGCAGATCTAAGATCTGAGGAGGTTGTAAGTCCAAAAGGAAAAAAACTGGTGACTACTAGAGATATTAGAGAACCAAGGGACTGGTATTGCCAGGAGTGTGAAGAAATAGGTTCTGTCCTGCCATCTGGTAATACAAGGCTCTGCCAGCCACACTCAAAGAAATCTAGTGTTTCCTCATGTCAGTCATGGAGGTAGTAATAAGGATTTGCAGAGTGAAAAATACACTTACCCATATATAATCTTGGAAGAATCATTTTCTTTCTATAGAACCAAATTTCCACATCTAGAAAATGGAGACAAGGTATACTAGATCTGTGTTCTCAAATCTGAGATTTCATAAACACTCTCAAGAATTTGTCCCCAGTCCCCTATTCTTAGGAATAATGCTTTAGAAGTTAAATACTGTCACTTTCAGAAGGTCACTAGAAGCCAACACAATCATAAACATAATCATGCTCATTCAGATAAAACACAATATGCTTATATTAATTAGTAGAAAAATCCATCAAAATGAAAGCCAAAATTTAAAAAATATATATTTATACTAGAATCCCTATGGATACCTCTATAGAGCACAGTTTTAAAATACTATGTCATAGTAAAGACCCTTTGCATTGATTCAACAATGTTTCTGAGTGTGTAGAGTGTACTAGTACAGTATGTCTGGATAATTGTGATTCCTTGAACTAAAGAGAGAGTAGTGAGGGTTCTTAATTGCTGACACTGGCTAACTTATGTAGACAAAGGAGTTTACTGAAGAATATCAAGTAGCCCAGACTCAATGAGAAGGCCGAAGAACAGTTTTGCAAGGCTGAACAGTTTCCTTAGGCTGTTCATGCCTAAGGAAGAACATGGCTAGAAAGCCAGACACTGGACATTGACTGCCACCACTGCTAGATGAATTCTGAAACCTCCTTGCTTCATGAGCTCCAGTTCAAGGTCTTAGTTGAGAATCTCTAACTGGCTGGGGTTGGTTTATGTGCCTGATAAGGAGGTGGGGGAGAGTGAATATCTGGCTGTTATGTCTTTGGTAATAAAAGTCAAGGATTTCTGCCTGCTACTCAAGATTGACAGTTCTGATTCTTCAAACATGGAAAGAGGCGAGGCTAATGCAAGACTTTCAAGAGCCCTATCTGCCATATGAGCAAACACACACATCCACCTCAACAGCAGAAATATCCACATATCTTATCTTTGGTTTTTTACTCTGGGACTACTCATCCCAAATCTATTTTTCCCAATTTCTTTTGTTTTACTAATGAGGCTTAGAGGCATTTAATTAACTTACCCAAGGATACATCTACTAAATAGAAAAGCTGAGATGAAAATCCTGGGTTTTCTTTTATTTTTTTAACTTTTTATTGTAGAAAATTTCAAAAATAAAAGTAGAAAGAGAAATATAACAAATCCTTCAGTAGCCATCAGCCATCTTCAGTAATTATCAACTCATGTCCTATCTTATTTTATCTATACTCCTACCTACATTGTTATGAAGAAAATCCCCCAAATCATAGTATTTCAACCAAAAATATTTCTGTAAGACTCTCTACAGGATATGAACTCTTTTATAAAACATATAATCACAATACCACATCAAACTAAATATATTAATAATAGCCCTATATTCCTAATATCATTAAATATCCAATGTGCAAATTTTCTCAATTGTCATATAAAATTTTTACGGTTGGTTTATTTAAATCAAAATTCAAATAAGACTCATATTTTGTAACTGGTAAGTTTTGTCATTGTTGTCATTGCAACAACATTTGTTGAAGAAGCTGAGTCATTTGTCTTAAAGAGTTTCCCACATTCCAGATTTTGCTGCTTACATCCCAGTGGTATGATTTAACTTGTTCCTCTGTATATCCAAGCCATTTTAACTCTAAAAGGACAGGCTATAATCCTATGCTACCCTCTTCCAGGGATCATTATGATTCTCAAATGTTTTCTGTGGTAGGTGCTTCTTAGTGGAAAGTCGGAGCAGATTTCATTTACCTTAACTTTCCATGGTCCCACCACTCTCAGATGCGCCCTCTGCAGTTTTCACACAATGATGGTTTCCTCTTTCTTCTTTGCATTCTCTTTCACTTTCAGGAACATTCAGAAGATAAACAATATCCCCAGAAATGTCAGGACCCTCTCTTGTCACAACTGCAGCCCCTCTCCCCTAGCCGGGCACATGTGGAGCTGAGGCGTTACTATAGCATCTGCCAAGATACTGCCTTTGGGCCACCAGGCTTCCAAGAAGGGGAGGGAGAGTTGAAAAAGGAGGGGAGGACTCGGAACTCCCTCAGCCCCACCGTGGCACCCAAGCTCAGTTTAGAGGTTCGAAAACTCAGCAATGGCAGATTGTCAACATCCCTGAAGCTGGGTCCCTTGCAACCTCGAGGAGTGCCACTCCGGGAGAAGAAGGCAACCCAGATGCTGGCCATTGTGCTCGGTGAGTTTGGGTCAAGTTGAGTTAGACTAAATTGGGTTGGGCTGAGTTCACTGCAGCTGGCAGAGGGTTAAGGTAACCACATTTGACAGAAATTGGAAATCCAATGACTGTAACATTTATAAATTGTATAATACAATTGAAAAGGGTTTGTGTATAAATAAATGTTAACTGGTGGAAATCACAAGACCTAGACTGACATTTATGAACTATGAAATTCAAGTCACCTAATTGAGCTGTTTTTTCATAGTGTTTGTTGTCTATCATGTGGAGTTATAATGGATAAATCAAATAATAAATAAAAAATAATTAAAGTGTCTGGCACGTATTAGATATTTAATAAATGCTACTTATTCTAAAATAGTAAATGAGAAAACAGGGATGCAAAAAAAAAAAAGTCATGTCATATGATAATATCTAGATTATTTTGAATACAGAGTAAAAAAAAAACCCTGAAAATTAATTCACCGAGATGTCAAAAGCGATTGTCTTTTGAGTGGTGGGTGGTTATTTTTCTTCTTTCTGATTTTCCGTACTTACCAAATTTTCATAATAGTTAAAATCAGAGGTAGTTCTTGTAGTAGAAAAATATAACACTTATTTAAATAAAGAAAAAAATTGATAAGTCACAGGTACCATATAGAGTTAGTGAAGGCAATTTATCCTGTTCATTATCACAGATAAACTTCACCTTCTCATATATTGAGACTTTATGAGAACCCCTATATGTAGTCTCCTCAACAGAAGGAACTGTGTCAGTTGCATCTTTAGGGTCTTCTTTCCTATCAACACCTAGGATCATGTCTTGATGGCTAGATATTAAATAAATATTTGATTTTAATTGAGAAGCAGAAAAGACTAGTAAAGAACTACCTAAAGATCAAACTAGAAAATTGATTTAGGAACAAAGGCCTAAGATGAATTAAAAACATTAGCATTTTGATGTTTTCTCATCAAAAAAAAAAAAAAGCCAATCACACCTACTTTTTTTTTTTAAACCTCCTAGGGTTGGTTTAAAAATTAAATGGGGAAAGAGAGGTGAAAAGTAATATTTTGATGAGTGCTTACTGAGAAATAAAAAAAAAAAAATTAAATGAGTATGTAAAACTTCCAGCATAGTAGCTAGCATATAAAAAACAAGTGTGTCATTTTCATGTTATAATAAAATGAGTAAGCAAAATTCTTACCCAGTTTTTCTCTTCCTTTGCAACCTAGGGACCTTCATTGTCTGCTGGCTGCCCTTCTTTTTGACCCACGTTCTCAATACTCACTGCCCAGCTTGTCATGTGTCCCCGGAGCTTTACAGTGCCACAACATGGCTGGGCTACATGAACAGTGCCCTCAACCCCGTGATCTATACCACCTTCAATGTCGAGTTCCGCAAAGCCTTCCTCAAGATCCTGTCTTGCTGAAGGAAAGCAGAGAACCTAACTTTAGCTGCCCACCTTTAGCTGCCAGGCCATTGGGCCAGCGGCCATGGCTTGCTCAGAAAGACTGCCATGTCCTCTGGCATGTAGTAGGAAGAAGACTCCTAGAGCAGGACATCCCTGAGTGGCAAGTGTAAACAACGGCTTCCTCCAAAACAGAATGTTCTACCTCTCCAGCTAAAATCTAACTTCATCCTGACAATCTTCAAGTGGTTGGGAAGCCCCTGAGTGATAAGCAATAATTCAGAAAGAAGTTGATAAAACATGCCTCTATACACACACAAAATTGTCATCAGAAGCATGATTCATTACAGTAAAGGAAAAATGAACAGATTTCATAATTCTCAACTTGCCAGGGGTCCTTGAAATCTCAGCCAGTAAACCATCTTGCAGAAGAGCCCATCTTTCTTCCTTCAAACTTCTAATTAACTGTCAAGCTAACCTTGTACTTTTGTGGGCCCACTCCCTTTCGGTCACTGCTTTCATTCATTGTATCCTGAAATATAATGGCAAGGCCGGTGCTTCTACCTCTCCGTAGAATCTGATTGGCTACATTTGGTGAGGGAAATTCCTCACCCTGAAGGAGACATTGTCCCATATTGGGACCTGGGCTTCATTTCAAAGCTCGCCACCCCTGACCTTTAGCTCTAGCTAAGAAGCTCCCTTGATTTCATCCCCTTACTCTCAGATTCTCAACTCCAGAATAATCCAAGATGTGAATGTTAAGTAAAAAAGAATGACAATTCCCACTGTAGCATCGGTGTTGAAACTTGTGGTTCAGAACATGCCTTAGATATGCTTTTCATAATGCTGTAAGGTTTTCCTACCCAAACATCTCCATCTCCTATTAACAAAAACCCAATACTTTCGGACCTTGAAGCTCATTAAGTATTAAGTGTCTGCAAACTGCCAATCACCTCCCAAGTTCTAGATATATGACAATGAATAAGACAGATCCTGACCTCAAGGAGCCCACCACTGGCTCCTATGTTTGCTCATTTACTCGTTGAAGGGCAGTAGGGACTCACCTGAACTGCCAGAGGAACTCAGAACTGAGACGCCAGGCAGGATAGATGTCCAAAGCCATCATATAGACAGTCTTTGTAAAGTCCTAGGCAGATCCCCATCAACTGAGCTTAAAGGTATATAGAAGTCATGTGTAAATGTCATTCAAAATTGCATTTAGAAGGAACTCAAATACTCTCCCATTTACCTTTTCACCTACAGAAGCTATTTGGTATTGATTACAGAATCAAGGTACCATTTATGGATAACTTATGAAATGTTATCATCCTGAACTTCAATAAGTTCACTATTAAGAGCTATTCGTGCATAGGCATGACAGATACCTGCTGCAGTGCCATTAAAATTTTAAAGTGCACAAGAACCTACAAGGAATCCAAGACTTCCTTTGCCCATCTTTATTCCTCTAACCCTTAAGTGTGTAAGAAGGAAATACATATGCTCAGTGAGCCAGTTACCTGTTACTCCTGGTAATTTCTTTAATGTTATTGTCTATAACAATGTGTATAATTGTCACTCAGTAGGAAATTCTGTCTGTCCACTAGCGCTTCTACCTTGTACTGTCTAGTTCAATAGGTTTATAGTGCAAGTAGAACTGGAAATTGAGACAATTAAATCTCTGAAGAAGTAAAAGTACGTGATTCCTAGGTTTTTCTGTGCAAAATCAACAGCAAACAGATGGGACAGTGGGGTAAAAGATCACAGAATTCCATGTCAAAATCAGAGTTCTAGGAGAGAGTCATAAACAGCATTGATATTAATATATTTGTGAGGAATAATAGCAAATATTTTGAATCCTTTCCTTATATCAAGTCATTCAATCCTAATGATAACCTTAAGAAGATAAATTCTATTTGTAGATGAGGAAACTGAAGCAGTGAGAGGTTAAGAAATTTGCCCCAAGTCACACACAGTAAAGCAGCAGAACTGGGATTCAAATGTACTTCTACCTGACTCTCAAGTCCATGCAGTTAACCACTATGACACACTGCTGCCAGCCAGAGAGGTAAAAGGTGGGGGAGAAAAAGATGGAACAAAGATCCCTGGGAGAGCCTCACCCTACTCCATCTACCTCCGCCCCTAGGCTTTCCTAAGAACTCAGCCCAAGGCATTGCTCTCACTTTCCTGCCAACTTCAATTTCCAAAACAGTTTCATGGGAAATCTATGTCCTAATTTTTATAGAATCATTAAACAATCCTTAGAGAGCATTTGGTTTTACCCTCTCCTTTATTTACAGCAGGGATCCCTAACTCCCGGGCCATGGATGTTACCAGTTCGTGGCCTATTAGGAACTGGGCAGCACAGCAGAAAGTGAGGTGTGAACAAAGCTTCATCTGTATTTGCAGCCGCTCCCCAGCACTAGCATCACCACCTCAGCTCAACCTCAGATCATCAGGCATTAGATTCTCATAGGAGCATCGGTCCCTGGTGCCGAAAAGGGTGAGGACCACTGATTTACAGGGGGACATCTACCTCCGCCCCTAGGCTTTCCTAAGAACTCAGCCCAAGGCATTGCTCTCACTTTCCTGCCAACTTCAATTTCCAAAACAGTTTCATGGGAAATCTATGTCCTAATTTTTATAGAATCATTAAACAATCCTTAGAGAGCATTTGGTTTTACCCTCTCCTTTATTTACAGCAGGGATCCCTAACTCCCGGGCCATGGATGTTACCAGTTCGTGGCCTATTAGGAACTGGGCAGCACAGCAGAAAGTGAGGTGTGAACAAAGCTTCATCTGTATTTGCAGCCGCTCCCCAGCACTAGCATCACCACCTCAGCTCAACCTCAGATCATCAGGCATTAGATTCTCATAGGAGCATCGGTCCCTGGTGCCGAAAAGGGTGAGGACCACTGATTTACAGGGGGAAAAAAAAAAACAACTGAGATCCAGAACTGTTGTCCCACATTGGTTAATGACAGACAAGCATTCAAATCTACTGAATCCTAGTTCAGTGCTCTTTCCTGAGAGCCCTATAAAAACTGTAAACTCCATATAGATACGAGGAGAAAGTCATATTGTCACCCTCACCGTTAAGCTTGAGAGACACTTTTTCCCTGGACAGTGTCAATTAGGAGACGACATCTCCCTCCCAGAATTTCCTTCTGATCCAGGAAGAGCCTCCCGGGAGAATTGCAAACATGTCCTCCAAGCCCTCACTTCAGCCTCTTCATCCTAGGATTCTGCATTCCACCTCCTCTGCCTCCACAGTTTCCACCATGAACCAGCACACTTAACCTCAGGGCTCCCTACTTTCAGAGCCAGCATGGCCAAAAATCCAGGAGAGATGTTGGCAGAGCAGAGTCCTTGGGGCAAATGAAGGTCTGAAGCCCAAAGAAGCCTCATAGCTGTACCATTTGGGTGAAATGCAAATAGTACAGAAATCCAAATAGATTACAACCAACATTCCTTCTCCCAGTACACCAACCTCCAAAACTCCATTCATTACTCATACTAAATCAATCACTTATTCAATAAATTTTGATTGATCATCTTCTAGGTGCCAGGTCCTATGCTCGGTGCTGAGAAACATGATGGAGGAAGACATAGTCTTTGCCCCCAGAAGCATATAGTCTAGTGGAGAGGTAGAATTCATGTGTGCAGTAATGACACATTTGTTGTCTATGGTTAAGGAAGGTCTTGGTGTTTTGAAGTCCCATATTTGGCCTTGAGAAGGCTTCCCAGAGAGGCATTGTCAGGCCTGAGACATAATTAAAAAGTAAATAGGTTGTTACAGGCAGAGAAAACCTCTGAAGAGTTAAAGAAAAAACAAGCAAGAAGCATGCAAGGAATCTCAAATAGTTCCATCTGGCTGCAGAGAAGAAACCCTAGGGATAGGGCAGGAAAGAAAAGAGCCTCATCTTTGGAGGTCTCCTCCAGCTCTGTCAGGTGCCAGCTGAGCTGGTGGTGACACTACTCACAGAAGATCTTGCCTCCATTTCACTCCTTGTAGGCAACACGCATCACAGAACATCCATGGCTGACTTACTTAACTACTTCTCTGAGCTACAGTGAATTTCAAAAAACTCAGAATTTAGTCTGAATTCTTTGTTCTTTTCTCTACAGAGGGGGAATGGCTAGCTGAATGGATGTACAGTCACAAATGGTCAAAATTAAGGCAGTTCAGACAGTTCGGGTCAGAAATCAGAGGAGGTCAGGCAAAGAGATTTGTTTTCCCAAATGCATGGGTCAGAACTAAGCAGACAGGCAAAAAGATTAGGGATTTGCTCAGAACTGGCTATTTCCTGGAGGTCCTGACTCTCAGACCTGCATTCAGGTCATTTAGTATCTGCTGACATCAGGAAACTGAAAAAGCTTAATTTGAATCAACATACAGAGAGCAGAGAGGGGATGACAGGCAATTAACTTGATCCCTCCTTTCTACCTAATTCTCTTCACATCAAGAAGAGAGTGAGTTTCCATGACTACCTCCTGACACAGAGGGTGATGCCGATGTCAGCTCTGCTTTGTAGTATACACTGGCAGAGGAATCTGTGCCAAGCACAAGACCTGGGACCTCTTGCACCACCCACCTTCACCTCAATTAATCACCCAAATATGATCCCATCATTGTACATCAAGTCCCTGCTCTATGCAGTCTGCTGGGTACTGGGAAGAGAGAAGAGATGGCCATAGGCCTCTGAGGATAAATGTGCCTCAGAGAGGGAGCCAGGCTGAACCACCTTATAGGAAAGACAATGAACAAAAATAAGTCAAGGGCTAGAGTTCTAGTGCTACCACAGACAAGTGACCTTGAACAGATGTTTCACCTCCATGAACCTCAACTTTCTCATTAGTAAAATGAGGAACCTGAAGGCCTAGCCTTCCTCACTAAACAACTTAAAGATTAAATAACATCATGTATTAGAAGTGTTTTGTCAACTATAAAACTCTAATAAATAATAAATAATCTAAGAGATTATTATTATTTATTTTTATTTTTATTCCTCCCCCACCTTCCTCCAAGCAGCAGTTCTTTCTAGCTCACCTTTCTGGTTCACAGCCCACCTTTCTCTTTGCTGATTCTGTAATTGTCTCCAGTTATTAGCACAGTTTGTTAAGCCTCTCACATGAAATCTGATTTTTCTCTTGTTTCTTGTGCCCTAAAAGTGCCCAGGATATTTAGCTGAATTTATAGTCAGATTGTTAGGCAAATGGACCATCCCTAACAAGGCACCCTTTCTCTGCTCACACAGCCAAGTGCCCAAATATGGCATGATCCAACAGTAGGCAGATGGCAAATAATCTAATATGATCTCATCTTAACTTGATTACATCTGCAAAGGCACTATTTCAAAATAAGGTCACATGTAAGGTTCCAGGGGTTAGAACTTCAACATATCTTTTGGGGAGACACAAATCAATTCATAAAATATGGTGAAAGTGGTCTGAAAAAAGACTTGGAACTTGGATGACTTGGAGAAATGTACAAAAGCTATGTCATTCAGAATACAAGAGGTTAGATTCCAGTTTCAACATAGAATCCCTTTAGTGACCTGAGTCATGTCTGCAGACTTCCTGGAGCTTAACTTTCTTATGAGTAAAAGTGATGTCTGGATTCCTAAACTACGATAAACAAGCTAAAAATAATTCTAGAAGGATTAAATCATCTTTTGAGCCCTAAAAACATACAAACATGCTCATTAATAAAAGTCAAAACTGTTCAAAGGTCATCCTTAGTTTCTTCTCTGTGTCTTAAAAAGGGTAGAGAGGGCGGAATTCAACAGCAAACTCATTGGGATTGAGGAAGGCTAAGAGGGAATATCACGTAGTTCTCTTGTTCCGTGTAGCACCACTCCAGACTGTCTAAGGTGGAAGAGAGCATTTTTCTCTTTAAGAAAAACTGATATAATTATGCTTTGCACAGATCCTATAAGATTCCATGTTAAAGACTCTTAATAAGCTTTCAATTTATCACAGCTTATAATCATGGGATTTGAGAATTGAAAGGGACTTTAGCCTGGTCCCATAGTTATTGCAGAAACTCTCTCCAACATCTCTGATTCATGATCACCCAGCTGTGTTAAGAAGCTGGCTCACTTCTTCCCAAGACATGTGACAGGTTATCCTTTAAAAAATG